TGGGCAGAGGCTGATGTGAAGGTGGGAACTAGCCTTCGGGAGCCCAGCTTATTCGGGGAAAGAGGACTTCACTGAGGCGGTGACTAGGGGTAACTTGGGAGGAGGGGGTCCCCCAAGAGGAAGGGAGCTTGCGGGGTGGGGCCGCAGGGGGATGCTGGGGCCGGTGCCTAGGGGAGTGGTGCCTCCTGGGAAGGGCGGAGCGGAGCAGCTGGGGAGCTGGAGGGCCTTCGTAGGGTCCCTGTGGGCGAGGCCGGGCAGGAGTTACGGGTAGTTGGGAGCCTGGTGGCAGAGGAGAGAGAAGCGGAGTGGAAGGCTGGCTGCGAGGATACCTATCCGTGTGTGACCTTTTGAAAGAGCAGGACTTTTCCTCCGTCCCCGTCCCTCCTTCCCCCTCCCCCGGCGTCGGAACATTTTTAGCCGAGGCAGGTGATGGGTGGAGCTTCTGTAGTTTGTTTTTGGGAAGCAAAGTCAGGGTCAGAAGTTGCTTCTTGGCCGTTGCTGTTGTGGGAAGGAAAGCGTTCTGGACAGGAGGTGGCGGGCTCATGGGAGAAGACTCGGTTACCTTGCAGCCGCCTGAGTTCTGGGAGGAGGGTGTGTGGGGAGCGGAGGGGGAAAGGAAGCTGGAAAGGGAAGGTGCTGCTTCGCGGCGGGGAGCCCTCCTCCCAGCCCGGGGGCTGCAGAGCCGCCGGTGGCGAGGACCGATGGCCCCGTGCCCGTGTCGGTGTGACTGCTGCAGACGGTGCTGCCGCCGTCCAGTCCTCTTCTATCGGCCAATTGGGGCGAGGATATTCTCTAGATCGCGAGTTTATGGTGAAGAGTAAATAAGATCGTGTGTGCCAAGTGCTTACCACAATGCCAGTAAGTGCTGGATAGCTCTTTCCTGTCACTGTTATTAAAAAATAGCTCTTACTGTCACTGTTATTAAAAGGGACCAGCTGGTATATTTGGTTCCAAGTAAAACTTAATAGTCAGGAACCTTAACAGTAGGTAAGGCTTCAGAATATTAACTTTGTACTTGCTGCAGTGTTTTTGTTTCCCTGTCAGTCTTCTGGGTTAACGGAACGGGCTTGTTGGACCTTGGGGATGAAAGATCAGGACCAATACTAGTCCTCCCGCAGGTCATTTTATTTTTTAAAATATATTTTATTGATTTTTGTTTTTACAGAGAGGAAGGGAGAGGAATAGAGAGTTAGAAACATAGATGGGAGAGAAACATCATCAGCCGCCTCCTGCACTCTCCCTACTGGGGATGTGCCCGCAACCAAGATACATGCCCTTGTCCAGAATCGAACCTGGGACCCTTGAGTCCGCAGGCTAACGCTCTATCCATTGAGCAAAACCAGTCAGGGCTCCCGCAGGTCATTTTAAAAAGTTCACCTGCAGCCCAGCCAGCATAGCTCAGTGGTTGAGCGGCAACCAATGGACCAGGAGGTCACGGTTCGATTCCTGGTCAGGGCACACGCCCGGGTTGGGCGCTCAGTCCCTTGTGGGGCGTGCAGGAGGCAGCCGATCAATGATTCCCTCATCATTGATGTTTCTATCTCTCTCCCTCTTTCTTCCTCTCAGAAATCAATTATATATATTTATTTTATTTTATTTTCTAAAGTTCATCTGCAGTTTACCAGGGAAGGTTTGTCCTGTGACTTTGAAATCGATGAATTTTCATTTCTGTTGGAGGAGGGTATAAGACTTGTAAAAGGAACAAAAGGATTGTAAGTTTCCTTAGATTGATTCATTAACTGATTACACAGTTAGGTCACCCTGGGGCAACGTATGCCTAGTTACGTCCTTCTGTACTGAATACAGAAGAGAAGAGAAGCACACATTTGGGGGTGGGGGGCGCATTGTGTTATTTTCTGCATAATGGGTTCATTAATTGCCTTGTATTGGGGATGAAACAAGTGTCACTTTCTTTTCCACAGTGTATTTTTAAGCTTTCCTGTCATCTAGCCACCCTCTTCAGGGTGAGGCTTTGATTTTACTGTTGTCTCTGTCTCCGAACATATACCTTTACATACTCCTTTGGAGAAAGGAGAATTTTTCTTTAGGAACTGAGTTTAAACCCTTACATAGGGTTTGAGTTTGTAGTAGGAAGAATGGCCCCTCCCCAAATAAGATGTTCATTCTGTAATCCCCGGAATCTTTACATATGTAACATGATAAAGGGGACTTTGCAGGTGTAATTGGGGTTAAAATAGGAAGATTGTCCTAGATTTTGTGGGAAGGCCCAGTCTAAAAGCAGAGAACTTTCTGTAGCTGGGAGTTAAAAAAGAGGTGGGTCAGAAGCAAAATTGGGAGATCTGAATCATGAGAGGGGACCCCATTTGCTGTTGCTAGAGGGGGCCACTGGGAAACCATGAGAAGGGATGTGGGTGGCCTCTAGTAGCAAAGACCAGCTCTGGCTGACAGCCAGCAAGGAAAAGGAAACCTCAGTTGTACAGCCATAAGGAACTGAAGTTAACAGTTCTACATGAGCTTTGAAATAGATTCTTCCCCAGAGTTTCCGGCAAGGAATACACCTTGATTTTGGCCTTGTGAGACCCTAAACAGGAAACAGCCAAGTTCATCCAACTTCTGACCTGCAGAAACTGTGAGATAATAAATTTCTGTTGTTTTAAGCCTCTACGTTTGTGGTAATATGTTGTGGTAGCATTCTCACACTAGTATAGATTTTGGTACCAGGAGTTGGGGTACTGTTATCTAAAAATGTGGAAGGGGCAGTGGAGGCCAGAAATCAATCTTCCTCCCTCCCTCCCTCCCTCCTCAATAGAAACATCAATGATGAGAGAGAATCATTGATTGGCTGCATGCAGGAGACAGCCATGCCCTCCTGCATGCCCTCCATTGGGGATCAAGCCCGCAACCCAGGCATGTGCCCTTGAATGGAGTTGAACCCGGGACGCTTCAGTCTGCAGGCTGATGATCTATCTATCCACTAAGCCAAACTGGGCAGGACCAGAAAATTTTTGAGGAATATGGTAGAAAAGACTTAGAAGAATAGATTGTTGCTAGAAATATGGATATAATGCCTTTGTTAATGAGGGCTTGGGTGGAAGTGGTATATACATTCATTGGAGACTGGAGGAAAAAGGATCCTTGTTACAAAGTGGCAAATATGCTTAAGAACTGTGCCCTGTGGTTATGTGGAAAAGACAACGTAATGTGATAAGCATGGATATTTGGCTGAGGAGATTTCCACGGAAAAGTCTTAAAAGTGCACCCTGGTTTGTTTGTGGATCTGAGTCTGACTAGTGGAGTGAACCTTTGTGAAATTCAGGTAAAGCCTTCTGGGTTCTTGAGGATTTATACTAGCAGAAACAGCTTGGCTTGAAAGAGAGTAGGAAATTAAAGAGAATTGTGAACCCAATGCTACTAGCAAAAAGCAGGCTGGAAAAACTACTCAGGTATAAATGTGCTGGCTTTCATTAAAAAAAAAAAAGAAGAAGAAGAAGAAGAAGGGTGGAACCAAGGGCGCAGAGAGCTGAATGCCAGAGGATTTTTCTCTGGTTTGGAAATGGAATGGATGGAGTTAGCTCAGATTTTGAAACTGCTTTGGACCAATGGATCTGTTTTCTCTTATATTTTCCCTGTTCAGATAGAATGTCTATAACTGGTGCCCTATCCCTGACCCCCATTGCATGTTGGGAGCAGATAACTTTTTTTTAAGGAATTGTACACCAGGGATTATAATGTATTATACCTAGAGCCTCATTATACCTAACTTAGATTATGAGTTTTGAGACTTTATGTTGGGAGGCAAGAGGGTGGGTGTAGTAGATAGAATGACACTCCCCTACCCCCAAAGATGTTCATAAGCTCATCCCTGGATTCTGGATTACAGTAACATGTGGCAAAGGGACTTTGCAGATAGGAAATTATTCTATTGCAGATTATCCTGTTTTTTCTGGGTGGGGATTATTTTCTAGAGAACAAAGGCAGCAAAGATTATTCTATAAAGTGATTTAGTCCTGGAAGACTTCACAGAATAATGGGGTTGAGTGGAACCTATGCCTCTTTCTTTTTTTTTTTTTTTTAATCCTCACCAGAGGATATTTTTCCATTGATTTTTTTTTTTTAAGAGAGGGAAAGACAGAGAGAATTTCAATGTGAGAGAAACTCATCGATCAGTTGCCTCCTGCATGTGCCTTGACCAGGGCCCAATCCAGGGAGGAGTCTGCAACCGAGGTAGTTGTCCTTGACTGGAATCAAACCCAGGACCCTTTGGTCCTCAGGCCAACTCTCTATCCACTGAGCCAAAGTAGCTAGGGCTTTATGCTTCTTTCTTAATGTTTAAGTGTCCTGTTACTGCCTTTATATGCAATTTGGAAGGACTGCATGACGAGCTTGGTTAAATATAGATTCTAGAGCTACAGGCCATTTTAGTAGGATTTCTATAAATTGATGATTCTTCCATGCCTATAATAAACTTCTTGGGTAAATGGCACAATTTTGTCATTAATTTTTATTGGCTGAATAAAGCAATGAGTTTATGTGACAACCTTTTAAAGACTTAATTTCCTATTTTTTAGAGGAGATAGAAATGGGTAATAGTTTTTATGAATTGATAGCCACCTATACGTACAGTGGTCTGTTTTTTTTTCACACCTCCCATACCAATCCAAAGATGTTGTAAGGTTGTTTCTCCCTGTCATTATTTGAGTTTAAGAGTCAGAGTTGAGGATCATACTTGCAGAGTAGACTTCTAGTTTTTAAGAAAAAGTACTGTTTTTTGCTCTTCAACAGTATCCTATTGATTAGACTCATAAAATGACTCTACTGAGGGAGACTTCAGAGGATGGAGGAATTTTGTTTTGTTTTGAGTTAGTTACCTAATTATAGTGTGATTACAAAATCAACATTTCAGGGTATGAGTGACTTTTGAGATTATTTGCTGGACTTTTAGCTTTAGAAGAAAAGAAATTGGGCCACATGAAGGTTAAGTGGTTCAACCAAGTATCTTAGCCCTAGAGCTGGCCTAGGATCCTGGTCCAGGCAGTGGAGATTCATGGCTTCTGAACTACATCACGTCCTTGAATAATGTAGTGTTTTGTTTTGTTTTGTTTTGTTAGAAGCTTGATGAGATGCCATAGGAATTTAACTCTTGTTTATATCGATTAGCCTGTGACAGAATTGGTTTCCTTATACTTATAGACAACATTAAGTGAAGACTTACTATATAGCTCTGTGCACCCCTCCCTCCCTGCATTGTACTTTTTCTAGATTTTACCTTGGAAAGGTTATCTCTGTGCCTCAGTTTCCTCATGGGGTCATTATGAGTATTCAGATTATGCATGTAACACATCTTTATATATAAAAGCCTAAGTGACCATTCTACCGGTAGCTATGACACGCACTGACCACCAGGGGGCAGGTGCTCAACACACAGGTATGGAAATGTGGAACAGACTGATGAATCTCAGGGGCGGGGAGGGTGGGAAGAGATTAACCAAAGATCTTATATGCATCCTAGAGGACTGGTGCTCAGATTTGTGTACCAGTGGGGTCCCTCAGCCTGGCTTCTGACATCCCCTGAGGGGTCCCAGATTGCGAGAGGGCACAGGCCAGGCCGAGGGACCCCACCGGTGCCTCTAGTTTAGCATAATACGTAACATAATAAGTGCCCAAAAGATATTGACTGTTACAACACTTATGATTCTTATTTTGACAACTATATGACATTTGCATAAATTACAGTACAAGCTGTATAAGTTCAAAAATTGATAACTGATATGATTTGCAGTGGATTAGGTAAGGACTTAGAATTTTAAGGTAATAATGCTTGTGATACTTGATTTAAAGTGACAAACTGGATTTGATCCTTGGTCTAACACAATTCATTGGGTGAACTGGACCAAGTTCATTTCACAAGAGTATTAAGTGTGTTTATACACCTAAATTACTTTGAACTCTTAAGGTGGATAATTTCAAAAGTAGAGTATCATTTAATTGTTTCTTAACAGAAATCTAGGCCACCTAGCTTTTCAAATGAAGAAATTCCTCTAGGATTATTAAGAAACTGCAGGATTATTAAGAAACTGCTGTCATTGTAACAAAGCATATATTTACATTGGGTTATAGGCCATTGGCAGTTTTTCTTAAATATTTGGAGTGCTCCAGGGTAGATATCAGCAGACTTAGTTGTTGACCAAAAATTTTTTTTTTCATATTGTAGAAATTAAGGATTAAGTCTTTAAAAGTTTTAGGTAAATGAATTCACAGTGTCATTCTAGGAGTGGCATTTCACTGGTTTCTACAAATTCTGTGTCTTAGACATAAGAAACTTACTTAGGAACCGTTACTATGGTAGGCAAGCTTTTTTTTACATTAGTGATAATAGTGTTTTCTTGCATTGAAAATAATCGTGTTATCTGATGTGAGTGTTTTAAGGTTAAGTACCAGGGTATTCTTAGAATAATTTTTAAATACCTTTATATTGGCCACTGTTTTTCTTTTCACACTTTTTGATTTTGTGGATTTTTCTGACAGGTTTGTATTAGCTGAAACATTTTAATCTGCTTGAAAAAGTGAATACTAGAAATTTTTCTGAATTTATGACTGATACAGGCATTTCTCCGTTTTAGTTATTTCATTAATGTTCTACAAAATTTAGGAAAGCAACCCTGTTAAAAATGAATGGGTAAATTATTTTCCTAAAGAAATGAACCATAGCATATTATAAAGTACAAAATAGTCATTTTGGGCTATTGAATTTATAACCAGTCAAAAGATGTTACTCATTCAACAGACCCTCAGTGCCTACTACATTTCAGATAGATGCTGTGCTAAGGATCTCTAGATTGTCTCTATCCTCAAGCTTACAACTGAGGACATTATGCAATGATGCATATATCGTTCTACAATTTAGTAGCTTTCTGAGATGTTTTCTTATGAAAATTTCTGTTGTCTTTCCTCAGACTTGGGGAAAGTTCAATTGTATAGTTTCTGAAATAGCTACAGAAATTTGGGGGTGGGGAGTTCAGACTTTCTCATTCTTGAACATTGCTTTTCGGGGAGCAACAGGATTGTTTGAAAGAGACAGACCAAGTCTGGGGACTATTACTTTACATCTCTCAAGCCTAGATTTTTGTCATCTAAACAATTTAGATAACTACCTTGAACAACTTAATTATTAACCGGTAAAATGGGGGTTAGTAGTACTTGTGAGGGTTAATAACTAAAGCAGTAGATAAATTTATCTCAGGGTTACTGTGAGGATTAAAGGAGATCATTTATGAAGTTCTGGGCACCTGACTAATATGAGTTCTTTCCCTTTTCTGTTAGTGAAATCAATGTGTTCAATGTCAGTGTTGCTACTCTTTATTCTTTATTTTCATTTTCTGCTGCCAGTAGTTCTTATTTTTTAATGAGGCCTTTTGACCTGTACTTCCTGTTTCTGGT